TGAAATAAAAGCCATTGTTGTAACGTAGTGTTACCAAAAACGCCCTGGCTTTTCTGTATATTAGAAGCTGTTAATCTTACTGATTTCTAACAATAATTATTCTATGAATACGCCACGAATTCATGAATGATCTTAATTTTGATTGGCTCACAAAAGAATTTACCAATGTTTGACAACCTCGACTGCACTTTTCTGCCTCTTTGTTGGTCAAGCTTGATTTCGCAAAAATTATTTATTTCAATTAGCTATATTAGGGTATACAATAGGGTGGAGATGGTAGTACTTGTCCCGTAATTTTTCACGGGCTATACGCTAGTACTAAACATAAGGACTGGCATTAAATAACTATCTCATTCACAAGCAAGTAACAGAGTCGGCAGATTAAAACTGCTAGATGTACTATTTTAACAAATTAAAGTTTTTGAACGGAATATCTGATGACCAAGGAAAAGAATTAGGAGCAAATAATTTCACCAGAAAGGTTGTAATACACTGCTTATAAAAATATTATTGAAAATACACGAAGAAAACTTCTTTAAATAAAGATTTGGTTTTTGTTGTAAAGCATAAAGTTGTACGATTGGTTATATGTGCTTATTGCCGAGCGATCGGAAGGCAGTCAGGTAAAGAACAGAAATATTTCATTAAAAATGCCATTAAATTTGAAACAGAGACGAAAATTAACTTAGAAGTTTGATTAGTTACGAATGTTTAAATATGCAAATTATTAAATATTTTTAGAGTAAGTCATATTCAACATAGCATTTTTTTACAAGAAATTTTACTGTAGTTTCTTAAGACTGGTCTTGTCTACTGTCTAATTCTGTAAAGGACGTTTGGAAGAATTCAGCATGGAGTAGCAAACCTAGACAAAAGGTAGGAGGAGACCATCTGAAATTTCACATGTCAATGCACTGCCTATAACTCCTCCTAAAAGAAAACGTTTACCGTAACTGACTAAATGACCTGATTAGTCTTTGTAACATAAACAAACATAGTCCAGATAAAAATACAGTATATTAATAATGACAGCTTGAAAAACTATTAACATTTTACGCAACCTGTTAAGGTTTGCGTTATTCGTCTAACTTTTGATGTTCAACAATTGAAAATCAACAAAAACATTGTGATAAATCTGATAAAAACGAACACTTCCATTTTAATATCATACAGAGACACTGAATGTTACCCAAAATAATTTTTAAAAATAAAAATTATATTCACCCATTTTGTAGAAATTACGGAATCAGACACATTCCAAGCTGAGTAGATTAACAATGTGTATTTCATTGCATCTAGCTTGTTCCACCAGGTACGATTTGACTTAGCACGAAATCTTATCTGGTCAGTGGCAGAAAGGAGGACGAAACTGTTGATTTTGGTAAACTCCATTGTTTTATTTAAGTTGTTTAAAGCACAGAACTCTTCACCAGAAATCATTTTCCTGTCATATCTAATGGCTTTAAATGTTCTCTGATCAAAGAGAGGCTCCCACTGTCCACCTTTCCCATCAATTCTAGCTTCCCATTCACCTACAAAAAAGAAGAAAACTAATTACAAATTTATTTGATAAGGTAAAAGTTTCGGTGAATAGTAGTGTATAATTCCTCATTATCAAAATACCAGAAATCCATGCTTAATCTAATACTGTTAAAAAATATTAATGAATACAGTATGTGTACTTACAAACCCCACTTGTACACAAATTATTATATGAGTATTACTTGAAGTATAAATAACACGGTAATAAAAATCATTACTGCAGCTATTTTTATGCCGTCAACATTTCACCAGACATCCAGATGACCCATGTTACGTATTAGAATTTCAAATAGCCTGAAACTGAACTAAATGATATTTTATATTTAGTAGTTAAATTGTACTTTGGACTTACTAGTTAAATAAAAGCCGATATATAGTCAGTTTACGATATTTGCCAACAGGATTGATAAACACGGTTTTCTTTTTTAACAAAATACGTTTTAATATACACACAAAACAATACAATTTACAATAACAGTTACTACAAATAGTTATTATAAACAAAAGTTTCACAAACTTACAAACAATATAAAATTTTCTTTCTAGTCTGGAACTTCCTTAATATCTATCTTATCGAGGCTTAACGATGAGTGAGTTAATTACGAGTTAATGTAGACACGATTCGCTTAACGGGAAGCTAACTAGCTTTGTCCTTCACTGATCGATTTTTTTACCAGTGACGTTAGGTAATGTTTTCGTAAAAATGCTAATATCCGATGTGAACCCACTGAAGTTAAATAATTTGTAATGTTTGAACTTTGTAAAGGTTCCTAGTCAAATACCTAAAGTTTTCCGACTGATAAGCGTTATAACCATCATAGTTATAGCTTCCGAAGTTTACAGCACACTGATTATAGCGAACTAATAATAAATACTCTCTTCTGGCACATCGCGTTGCTTATATTTATAGCCGTGTGGACGCGTTCTAGAAATTTCAGTTTTACGTAAAAATATTGAACTACGCTTAAGCGTTTACGTACACAGATATATTGTTGATTCTTACTCTCGAGAATCTTTTACAACTTTGGAGAATAGGCGGGAGTTTCGCAATACATATTTAACTGTATATGCTATGCATGTTTCTAAATATAACTTTAATCCAAACAAATGTTGATATTAAAATAAATATATAATAACAAATTCGTTACAGTCAATATAGTGTGAAACGTATGAATACAATAAAACGTTCTGATAAAACACACTTAAAATTAATATGATCTAAATATTTACTTAAACACTCTAATTAAAATTACTCTGGCGAACATCTGGAGACTCCACAACTCATTCCAAAGCTAATCAACCTCCAGCACCGGACTTCACTTTGCCTTTCCTACTTACTTATTCTCGCTAACCAGGCACTGGTAACAGACTGGTCGTTACCGTGGTTTTCTCGGGGTACTCCCGTTTCCCTCCACATTACATTCTTTGCATAGGATTTATTGATTCCCGCCACCCTGATGGACCAATTGTCCTATATCGGCCGTTTAGTTTACTTTGCTCTTCACTCTTTACCTTTACTCTCACGTTTACCTTTTTAAATTTACATAGCTTGTCTGCATTAATTTCCTGTTTTCTCAGGTTAAGCCCATATTCCTAGGCCACGCGCGGGGTGAAGGAGGATTGCTTAATCTTCGAGCACCCTTGATTAGTAATTATTTCTTAGGAAATAATTATTTTTAAATCTAAATAACTGCCAGAAACGAACGAACCAGCGATATAGATAGATAGATACTTAAAGAAGCAAACAGTTGTGATGGTAAATAAAGTGTGTGAATTGCTGTGAATTCTAGCGTGTGTTTATAAAAACATTGTTAAGTTTAAAGCGACGAGGAACGTATTAACTGTGGATATTCTATGTATTACAAAGTTTGAAACGGAAAAGAATAAACTAGTTTTAATCAAGAAAGGACTTGTATCGCTGAAGTTCCTCGGAAATAATTTCT